AACGGTCTCCATACACGTAACCACAATCTCCATACACGTAACCACAGTCTTCCTTCATAAAACAACAATCTCCATACACGTACCCGCAATCTCCATACACGTAACCACAGTCTCTATACGTAACACCAGTCTCTATACACTAACAACGGTCTCCATATACGTAACAACAGTCTCCATAATCCACAACCACATATACACGTAACAACAGTCTCTACCATAAAACAACGGTCTTCGTACACGTACCCACAATCTCCATACACGCAACCACAGTCTCTACACACCTAACAACGGTCTCCATATACACAACCACCAACCACAATCTGCATAAACGTAATCACAGTCTTCCTTCATAAAACAACAATCTCCATACACGTACCCACAATCTCATACAACGCAACCACAGTCTCTACAGACCTAACAACGGTCTCCATATACGTAACCACAATCTCTATACACGTAATCAACAGTCTTCCTTCATAAAACAACAATCTCCATACACGTATCCACAATCTCCATACACGCAACCACAGTCTCTACACACCTAACAACGGTCTCCATACACGTACCCACAATCTCCATACACGCAACCACAGTCTCTACACACCTAACAACGGTCTCCATACACGTAACCACAATCTCCATACACGTAACCACAGTCTTCCTTCATAAAACAACGGTCTCCATACACGTACCCACAATCTCCATACACGCAACCACAGTCTCTACAGACCTAACAACGGTCTCCATATACGTAACCACAATCTGCATAAACGTAATCACAGTCTTCCTTCATAAAACAACAGTCTCCATACACGTACCCACAATCTCCATACACGCAACCACAGTCTCTACAGACCTAACAACGGTCTCCATATACGTAACCACAATCTGCATAAACGTAATCACAGTCCTCCTTCATAAAACAACAATCTCCAAACACGTAACCACAATCTCCATACACGTAACAACGGTCTCCATACACGTATACGTATCCACAATCTCCATACACGTAACAACAGTCTCTACACACCTAACAACGGTCTCCATACACGTAACCACAGTCTCTACACACCTAACAACGGTCTCCATACACGTAACCACAATCTCCATATATGTAACAACAGTCTCTATACACGTAAAAACGATCTCCATATACGTAACAGCAAACTCCACACACGTAACCACAATCTCCATATACGTAACACCAGTCTCTATACACTAACAACGGTGTCCATATACGTAACCACAGTCTCCATACACGTACCCACAATCTCCATACACGTAACCACAGTCTTACTTCATAAAACAACAATCTCCAACACGTAACAACACAATCTCCATATACACGTAACCACAGTCTCTACACACATTACAACGGTCTCCATACACGTAACCACAGTCTCTTCAGACCTAACAACGGTCTCCGTACACGTAACCACAATCTCCATACACGTAACCACAGTCTTCCTTCATAAAACGACAGTCTCCATACACGTAACCACAATCTCAATACACGCAACCACAGTCTCTGTACACACCTAACCACGGTCTCCATACACGTAACCACAGTCTCTTCAGACCTAACAACGGTCTCTGTACACGTAACCACAGTCTCTATACACGTAACCACAATCTCTATACACGTAACAACAGTCTCTATACACGTCGCAACAGTCTCTGTACACGTAACCACAGTCTCTGTACACGTAGCCACAGTCTCTATACACGTAACCACAGTCTCTATACACGTAACAACAGTCTCTATACACGTACCCACAGTCTCTATACACGTAGCCACAGTCTCTATACACGCAACCACAATCTCTATACACGTCGCCACAGTCTCTATACACGTCGCCACAGTCTCTATACACGTACCCACAGTCTCTATACACGTACCCACAGTCTCTATACATGCAGCCACAGTCTCTATACACGTAGCCACAGTCTCTATACACGTAGCCACAATCTATATACACGTAGCCACAATCTCTATACACGTAACCCCAGTCTCTATACACGTGGCCACAGTCTTTTGACACATTCTTTTCTCACGTAACCACACTCACCATACACGGAACAAAGGTCTCCATTTATAAAGCAACATTCTCTGAACAGAAAACAGTCCCCAAAACGCCCCAGTACACTCTAATGGATCAAACTAATGACAAGTATGGGGACACGTTCTGTTCTGGATACTCTGTTCGGGTCATTGACACAAAACTGTTTGAGCTCCTTTCTACGTGCGTTAAGTATTAAACAGCTTTGACTATTGTAAGGTTGTAGTTATTTCATAGCATATCACCGTTGGCGGTATCTTCTAGGTATGAGACACTGGCACCCCACCACACCCTGTGACTTGAGTAAGGCATATAGAATAATATGGCTGTATTGTGGTTTATGACAGCTCGGTTATTTGTGCCTCCAGGTACGATAACCATCATTCATTTATCTCAAGAGTATTGCATGGCAAACAATGGTAAACTATGGTCTAAGGAAGTTAGATTACCCAACATATTGGATGTTTCAGTTTTCAGCATCACTTATAAAATGGCTTTCTGGCGTTTTGAAACAAAACTAACAGACTGCTTATTAACGGCATATTTAGCATCCTTGACAACTGCAAAAAGGGCCAAATATGATTGTGAATAGTTGTTACGGGAACCCAATTAGCATCCTGTTGGCACCACAGCAAAGGTAGTCCTCGTTCTCTGACTTATAGTGGTAAACAGGGGTACGTCCTGAATGCCTTAGCGATTCCGGAATGGATACCCTATACACTCCAAAGAAAATAGTTTAAGTTTGGTGGCTATTTAACGGCGCACTCAGCAATATTCCAGCTACATGGCAGCGGTCTGTAAATAATCGAGTCTGGACCAGACAATCCAGTGAAATGGAAACTGAATTTATAAAAGGACCTTTATGGATTTATAAGTATACATTTAATAATACATTTCATCAAGTTCCTCTGGTGATTGTCCAGATATACTTCTGTAATGTGTATTTGCCGGAATTATTTTTTGTAACGACATAGTCAAATTCAAAACTAATAAGTGAGTGAGTGAGTGGGAATTTAATGTCACATTGGCGTTTTTTCGGCCTTATAGCGATGTAGGCAAGTCTATACATTTTCACAAGTGAATCAGCTAATTTATTCTGTTATTTCAAAGGTTGGGTTTTTAGTTTTCCTTCTTATAATTCTTATAACTTATTATATTTAGCCATATCATCAAGAAGCTACCTGTATTATCTGTGGATCTGTCTTCGGTTCAAAAGACTTTCAAGCAAATCGAAAGAACAGGTGAGCGTGCAGTCAACATATTAAAAACAATTATAATCTATACAGCTACTACTTCCATTATGTGTCTAACTCACCTATTAATTTTTTAATAAGTAATCGAGTCTGGGTCAGACAATCCTGTGACTGACATCATGAGTATCCATCTATACGATACAATGACACGTGTCAGTGAAGTCAGCAAGCCTGACTACCCGATCCCGTTAGTCGCTTCTTACGGCAAGCATGGGTTGCTGATAACGAGTTTCAAACTTGACCTTAACGAGTTAGTTAAGAGACCGGTATATTTATCTACCGTAATTGTAATATCTTATGGCCCTGTGTGAATGTACATGTTCTAGCGTTAATCTAACGCCAATTGCGTAGATTGAGGCTCATGCTGTTGTCTGATCCAGACTCGATTGTTTACAAATAGCTGGAATATTGCTGAGTGCGGCGTTAAACTATCAAACAACTACTACTATTAATCTAACGATACAGCAGTGAAGAATTTTAAATGTTGAAGGGACGTAACGAATGCATGCAAATCTGCATTTATGAACAACATAAAACATAAATAATTTTAAAAAGTGTCACGTTTTATCAAGGTAAACTTGCGGGAACGCTCGTTTTTCTAACGTTTGAAAGTAGTTGTTAGGAAATGACTCAATGAATAATGAGTGAGTGAGTTTAGTTTTATGCCGCTTTTAGCAATATTCCTGCAATATCATGGCAGGGGGACACCAGAAATGGGCTTCACACATTGTACCCATGTGGGGAATCGAACCCGGTTCTTCGGCGTGACGAGCCAACGCTTTAACCACTAGGCTACCCCACCGCCCTACTCAACGTATGATCCACATGTTGGTACACAGCCTCTGATACCCAGCATTTCAGATTTATGAAACTGTCGCAAGTAATACCGTAATGTTTACATGTGTATGACAAATAGTGTTAAATACAACTTCTAATTAATGACTCAACTGTGCATATACACAGACTTGTTCTCGTCGCTATATGGTTGAAGCAATGCCGACACGACGTCAGATTATAACTCACTCAACCCAACAGATCGGCAGTGTCGTGATTTAACTTTTTCAGTTTTACACAAACTGATATGTTTAGTCTTTTTAGGTTCCCGACTATTTGAAGTCTATTACTTTACACGATTCATAAGTCACAATCTTCCTACTTTTCTCTCTCTGTAAAAATATTTTAGAGACAGTTTGGGTGTCCGAATGCTTTGAGGATAATGTAATGGCAAACGTCATTATGTGGGGCGTTGGGGTAGCCTAGTGGCTGAAGCGTTCGCTTGTCAAGCCAAAAACACCGGGTTCGATTCCCTACATGGGTACAATGTGTGAAGCCCATTTCTGGTGTCCCCCGCCGTGATATCGATGGAATATTGTTACAAGCGGCTTAAAACTAAACTCACTCACTCACTCACTCTAGGAATATGCAAATTCAATCGCACATTCTTGACAACGCCAACGTTCTGCAATGAAAAAAGAGTGGACAGATAGCCTGGTAGTCAGTAAAAAAGTATTTATTCATTTTCAAAATAATTAGATACCTCAATGCATTATAACTATTAGCTTCTACAGACATGTGCGATAACTAAACTGATATCTTCTAAGATACTATGATGAGTAGTTTTTTGCTTCTGGTTTAGAAACAGCGCGGATTTCTAGAATACTTTGAATGAAGAAGAGCTGTGTCTTGATTACAGAGATAAGGTAGACTTGAGGTAGACTGTAACTTTGCCACTGATAGACAAGAACGTCACGGGGTCCAGATCTGTTACGTCATCACCTATAAAACATTCAACACCACATTCGTAGCAAGGTACGTCTATACATATACAGTCGTGGGTGAGGTGGTGATGGACAGCGGGAAATGAATACAAACACAGTGGGCGTGAGAGAGAGAGAGAGAGAGAGAGAGAGAGAGAGAGAGAGAGAGAGAGAGAGAGAGAGAGAGAGAGAGAGAGAGAGAGAGAGAGAGAGAGAGAGAGAGAGAGAGAGAGAGAGAGACACATATTCTCCAGAGCACAGAGAGTTAATAGATTAACACATTTCTCTACTGAGAAGAGAGAGCGCAACATTGTTAATTGTTAATAGAGACACATTTCTATGCTGATAGAGAAAAGCGCAGCGTTATTCATTGTTAACAGACTGACACATTTTTCTACTGATGCAGGAAAACAGCAGCATTGTTCAGTATTGTTATAGATTGATACATTTCTCTACTGATGAAAGAAAAACAGCAGCATTGTTCATCGTTAGTAGATTAACACATTTCTCTACTAATGAAGGAAAAGAGCAACATTGTTCATTGTTAATAGATTAACACATTTCTCTCCTGATGAAGGAAAACAGCAGCATTGTTCATTGTTAATAGATTGACACATTTCTATGCTGATGAAGGAAAAGAGCAACATTGTTCATTGTTAATAGATTGACACATTTCTCTACTGATGAAGGAAAAGAGCAACATTGTTCATTGTTAATAGATTGACACATTTCTATGCTGATGAAGGAAAAGAGCAACATTGTTCATTGTTAATAGATTGACACATTTCTCTACTAAATGAAGGAAAAGAGCAACATTGTTCATTGTTAATAGATTGACACATTTCTATGCTGATGAAGGAAAAGAGCAGCATAATTCATTGTTGATAGACTGGCACATTTCTCTATTGATGAAGGAAAAGAGCGGCATTACACACTGCTAATCGATAGACACATACAGACCAAATGCTTGTGGGTTCCGGTTCCACCCTTTTATGGTTTCAATATTTCTCGCCACCTTGTTGGTGCCAGTGGTTTACCAAAATGGTAAATGTCTAGAGCCTGTACCACTGCCAGTTTTAATCCCACATGTAGCTGTCATGCCTCCATATAACTACCCGTGAAGACCCTGGTTAGAATTGATCTTCAATAACCCATGCTTGTCGTAAGAGGCGACTAACGGGATCGGGTGGTCAGGCTCGCTGACTTGGTTGACACATGTCATCGGTTCCCAATTGCGCAGATTGATGCTGATGCTGTTGATCACTGGTTGATTGTCTGTGGTCCAGACCTGATTATTTACAGACAGCCGCCATATAGCTGGACTATTGCTGAGTGCGGCGTAAAACCCCACTCACTCACTCACTTCATATAACTAGATTACTGTCCAAAACGTCGTTCAATTCAACTCACTACGATTTCGCCCTTAAAGAATATTATTTCCGTAGTAATAAATATACATGAACCAAAAACACATGTCAGTTTAGAATACCAGGAACGTGAACCTCACGCGAAAGGCAGCTCGATAGCTACTGTGCTCTATGAGAACACACGATGATGTAAGAATGAACACAGCAAAGATTGATTTAAATAATATAGATAAAATATGTTTAATATCTCACCAGTTTGAACTGCAGTCGTGGTGTCGATGATGATGGGTGGTGCAGTTCGTCGTCCCTGGCAGATCTGGTACAGGTTTGGTGAAGTTGTGTTGAAAGCCGCCAACTCCGCATCTGTCATCTTGTCATCCGTTTTCATCGTGTATTCGTCATCGTTATCTGGGGTTGATACTAGCTCCGATGTCTATAACGATAAAAGATCCTGTCAGTGGACACTGAGTGAGTGAGTGAGTGAGTGAGAATGGTTTTACGCCGCTTTAACCAATATCTCAGCAATATCACGGGGACACTAGGAATGGACTTCACACAGTGTATCATGCTGGAATCGAACCGGATTCTTTTGGCGAACGCTTTGACCATTAGGCTATCGCACCGTCCCTCACTGGTCATCGACGAAAGAGGAGATAAGATCATTTTATTATAGCATATCGTGTCGCTTGAGAACACGTGAAACATATTTTGATACCACAATGTTAGTTTTACTGGTAACGTCCGTTATAATTCACCTTTGCTACTAAAAAATCGCATGGCAGGTGTTTGCTTTGTCAGACACCAAACACCTTTAGATGCAAACTGAGTGGGTGTCGGGCGAACACCTGCTCGTGAACACCTGGTGTCATCTCTGATTTTCAGTGAACCATGTCATGTGTATAATTTCCAAAGCTATTTTGTCTTTACGCCCGCCGGAATAATCGAGATTGGTTATTATCTGGTTATTTAAATTCATTCATAACAGAATTGCATGAACGAGTACACATGCACGTGTGTAATGGAACACCATGAAAATCGGTAATTTCATGAAATCCCTTGAAGTTTAGGAGAATACATGAAATCCCTGTGGGTCACAGTGATTGCACGAAATCACTGACTCTTAAAGGGATTATGTGAAATCCCTGGTTTCACACATTCCCTGTAACATATACACTACTTCAACAACACCGTCATCAGTCAAGCCTTACAGATATGTGAAACATTGTCTCTAGTGGTAAGGTGTTAATGGTTTGGATGTTGTTTAACGCCGTACTCAGCAATAGTCCACCCATATGGCGGGTGCGTTAATGTTCTTATAGTACTTTTGCTTTTTATCCTGTTTATTTCAAAGTAGCGTCTGTTTTCACGAAAGAGCGGAAGTTACATATATGTTATTGGTATGGGTAGATATATTTCTGCCACTATGTTATTTATCATGCATTCCCCGAAGTTACTAGAGTCGGTTTTGGCTCAATCAAAAAATCCAAATGCCTAAAACATACTGGTACATCTAGGTAGTAGATGTTGTATGTACTGAATGGTTAAAATGTGTACCCTGCCCGATTAACTATCTAAACCTTAGCTTCCTGATCTAGGAGTAGTTCCATTATAAGCTGAATATATTGAAGTTTTTTCGAAGATGTACTTACATTTCTGGCTGAGATAGAGTTGATGGCTGCACTGAAGTCTGAGATGGGGAACACCAGACAGACTTTGGTGTCGTTAATCCTCACACGAGCTGCAGCCACACCCTGGAAGGTAAAACACACTTGTAATGATCTTGCCTCAAGTGGTTTCCAAGTGTAATTGAACTGGATTAAAGTGGTAGTTAATGGGGCTGCTACCATTTTCGAATCAGCACCACTGTGGATTCTATCTATCATTTTATATCCACATCGTTACACACAAACAATATTTGTATTCAGTAAAATTGCGAAACAATTGCGAAAACAATGATATAAAAATGAACAGAATTGGTTCTGTAGAGAATGAAGATTCTGAGTGAATATATTGAATACTCTCAATAAACAGTTAATTTGCAGTTAACTGTATAATATTATACTACTCAGTTTTATACAAATTCAAGTTCTAATGTATTAACTACTCCCAACGATTTTACAACTGAGGTCAAGCTTGAATATTCTCTGATCCAACTTCTAAATTACCTCTCAGAGAAGTGTCTTACCTCAAACTGAGTGAGTGAGTTTAATTAATTAATTTTTAAGTCACATTAACAGCATTTCAGCCATATCGTGTCTAAAACAAGGTCTAAATACATAATGGATGCATGTAGATTTATCTCTAACGCTGTGTAATAGTATTTCATTACATTATAAAAGTGAAAACAATTACGTTTGGAAAATCATAAGCTGAAAAGGCGGATGAGATGTTAGAATTCCTGAGAGCTCTGCCGAATGAAGCTAAGGTAATGAATTCCTCTGTCCTGTTGAACTGAGCTAACTCTCTCACGGTGATGTTGTCGTCCACCATGCGAAACCACTGTCGTCGTTCGACGCCACCTCCAAGCTGGAAAACGGTGCAAGAAAACTCATAAGTGAATGTAAAGTAAAGTAAAGTAAAAATCGATAACAGGTGAGAATTAAATAACAAATAAGATAACAAATAAGAATTTCTAAATGGTTATAACATTATAGATGTATAAATATTATGCTTCCAAATGACCCCAGAATGCTCGTTGTCAGTAAATTCATCTTAACATAATCATCATCATGATAAACCCTAATAATGGTATTTTTTTTTTTTTTCTGTGTAGTCAATATAATAACTTACCTTAACATCTACTTGTATGAAATCAGTCTTATACGGAACTAGATATACTATAGGCATAACACGCATACAATCCGTTATTGATTGATCTAATTTCTGAATGATACATCGGACACTATTTCAGTTACAACAAGACATGTTAGATCTGATGTACAAACAAAACGCTTGGCGGACGATCACAGATCACAAAAGACTCGTAGTTTTTACATATTAAACATAAAATTAATTATAGAGGCGTACAAAGATGTATTTATCGAAAGATCTCACCGCGGCAATCATTGGATTTCTCATTAGCCCTCCTCGTCCAAGTGGACGGCCACCACTCGCTCCTGGTCTTCGCCGTACCCATGATGGAGGTCCTCGTCTACCGGGTCTTTGTACTCTTGCTGTAGGTCCTCGACCACCCGGTCTTTGTCCTCTTGTAGATCCTCGCCCGCCCTGTCTTTGTCCTCTTCTAGGTCCTCGTAGACCCTGTCGTTGTCCTCTTGCTGTAGGCCCTGACCCGCTCAATCGGCCCCCACTTCCAAGAGGTTCTCTTATCGGTCCGCGTATGGCCAGCCTACCACGCCCTGCCCAATCTGGTCGTGTTAGGCCATTTGTACTTGTTCGCCTCCCATCTCTATTCGCACATACAAGACAACTCAAGGCAGCTAGCAAAACAAGCGTAATCTTCATGTCTAACTTTGCAGTCAACAATAACACAGTGACAGACTGTATCAACTGTAGACGAAATACAAATGTAACTAATAGCGATAAACCAGGTTTATATAGGAAAAGGAGTTGGTGACCTGCGGAGATTTATTGGATCTGATATGCATGATTGAGTACACAAACAAAAGTGACGTCAACATAGTCATTAATCTCCGAGCTTTGTCGTGAAAATCCACCGTAGATCCTTTGCATTTACAATGCCATAAACAGATTGATACTGTGGGGTCATGTAGAGTTTCAAGCGGAACAGCAAAGGGAAAGGTTAAATAAAAACAGTTTACTGTATTCCTTAAGAGACACTCGTAATTCAAGGAACTGGCTATTCTATTGTCAGGCAGACACAAATCCATAAACCTTCTTGTCATATTTGTTCCGAATATCTCCTTTTTTATAAAATATCATCGACATATGTGAACTTGTCTCTACACGAGATAACACTCTCGATCATTGTTGATGTTACAACGAACAGTTCAAGTATAAAATAATACTGAACCATACAACTCAAACGTTTTCACCGCGCCTGTAAGAAAATTGAAAATGACTCAGGAGAAGTGGAGTGAGTGAGTGAGTTAAAATTTAACCTCCCCTCGGCAATATTTCAGCTATATAGCGACGAGAAAGGTTGTGCATAAACAATACATACGATATGTTAAATCCCAGTCATCGAAGGACTGTAAAATAACTAGAGCATCACAGATGGTGTCTAAAACTAGCATGTAAATCTAAAACTATTTTATTTACGAAGACAATACAAAATATAACAGGCTATAGGTCGCCAACAACCAATTATTAAATGATAATTTACATTATTGAAAAGAGCCTTAATTGTTCTGACACTGAAATATTTATCCCTTGGGAGAAGTAGATACGTCTGCGAAAACATATAATGCATCCAAGAAATGTTTTCGAGAACATGACGATGGAAAGCGGATAAGCTTTTAAAATGATTTATTGTTTTGTTAGTTTCGATATCCATGGCGGTTTAACCTTTGAAGATTGATTGTTTTGATAGTTACGATGAACGTCGTCCCTCCTTGTATGGTGGCATAACTCTTCTTGCTAGCAACCTGTGCCCATTTACATATTGTGCTGATCACATATGATATACAATAAACTCCCTCTAAACCGACATCTCTCGGGACCGGTGAAAAATGTCGGTTTAGAGGGATGTCCGTTTAGAGGGAGTGTTTAGAAACTCATTCCAAAATTAGTTCTGTTACAATTTCTGCTTGACATCTAGAGTTAACTCAGTCCTTGCTCTCTTAAAAGGCGGGGTAGCTATTGTGACTTGTAGTGCACTTGAACTGCAGTAACTGACCATGACTTCTTTTTATACTATAACATGTGTTGGTGACACTGACTGGCTATATTCATGCTAAATTGAGATGATCTCATATAAGTTGTTCACTGGTCACAAGTGGGGGCATGGGTTGATGTACCCTCGATGTTTGTTTATGTTCCCTGAGCCCGAAGGCCTCGATGTTTGTTTATGTTCCCTGAGCCCGAACATAAACAAACATCGAGGGTACATCAACCCATGGGCCCCGAGGGACCAGTGAACAACGTATTTATCTTTCCGAACACCTTAATGTTAATTTTGAATTGTTTGAAGCACGGGTACAAATCTTTTTGAAGCCATCGCCAGATTTTGCTGACAAGAAAAACAGAGTTTAGAGTTATATCCCTTCCATCGATTTGCATTCGCAAGACATCGGTAATTTCCGTACATCATGGGTGATTCAACGTTATTGGAGATAAATAATTACTACCACAAAGTACAGAATGAGTTGCCATTGACAGCGGGGTACACTGAAATGTTCCTCGCTTGTAAGCGGGGTACATTGATAAATAATAGAAGAGCGCTCAGCCAATCAGAAAGCGACATTTATGTGTGAGGTAAGATAAATGCCAATGTCAATGAATCACAAACACTTAACTTTGTTTATGTTATTGACTATATCACTGTACCTAAGGTCAAGTCAAAGTCAAAGATGTTTATTGTACAAAAGGCCTCCGGGCCATATACATTGGAGTTATACATATACATTACACATATGGTGCAATAAGTAGTAATTAGTGATCCAAACAGCAAATCATGATACAGGCAGTAAATTATGTACAAGTAGTGAAATACGATGGACCTGCAACCCTTTTTCTCAGATTGTTACGTTTAATAAGAGCATAATTGATATAGTACGACAGCTTTATTATTACATGCTGGTGAGTTGAATTTTATACATCGAATATGAGCATTTATATACAGGGGATACCTCCCACATTCACCGTACACCATACAATTCGGTGTAGAGGGTCCTACACTTACAAATTTCTTACAGGCAATCAGATGTATATTTTCTATGCATTCATATCGCTGGAATCTCCAAATCTCGGATCCATACAAAAGAATAGGCTGAATTTGACAATCAAATAGACAATCAACGCACGTTACCAGCATCCTAACATGGCGGCAGGTAAGATCGCCTGGCGATTATTCTCCTCGAATTAGCAGAAAAAGTCGCTCATACTGTTAATGTAGCAGCAGTACACATCTGTGTAAAACATAAGAACTGATATTTGTGTCTCCTTTGTGTTTAAACATAATTCGACAATTTCTGTTTACCGACTAAAGCAAGACAGTATGCGTTACCAGCATCATTCATTGCACGTTACCACATCCAGACTTTGAGTTACCGACATCCTCGCGCGATTTTCAAAATGCTTTTTCTTCAACACATAGGCGTTAATAAGCAAATTCAGTGTATTGAATGTATTTCCACCATCAAAGTTTATCAGTGTGCTAAATAATGTTGATTGTATACACGTGGAAGTCTTCTAATTCGAGGGGAATAATCGCCAAACGATCTTACCTACCGCCATGTTGGTACCAGCATCACCTTAGGTGAGTGAGTGAGTGAGTTCAGTTTTACGCCGCACTTAGCAATATTCCAGCCATATGGCGGCGGTCTGTAAATAATCGAGTCTGGACCAGACAATCCAGTGATCAACAGTATGAGCATCGATCTGCGCAATTGGGAACCGATGACATGTGTCAACCAAGCCAGCGAGCCTGACCACCCGATCCCGTTAGTAGCCTCTTACGACAAGCATGGGTTACTGGAGGTTCATTCTAACCCGGACCTTCACGGGTAGCATCACCTTAGGTACAGTGTTTATGCAGGTATATGTATAATGTTAGAATGTTCCAGATCAGTGTGACAAAAGCAATGCGAAGTATAATGTATACAACACTCAAGCGAAAAGTATAATACTTAAAAGAAATGAGGGTATGATATTGCATGTTTGTTTATGATAATTGAAAAAACCTATATATATATTGATGCATTATATTTATGTATATGTATTGTGTGCGTACAAACAAACAAACACATGAATTTTTTGTACTCTGGTCCATGAGGGCATTATGCAAAATAAACTCTCTCTCTCTCTAGAACCAGGGATGCTGGTTCTGACGGCAACAAAAGGTGAAACAATTCCCGGTTACACCAAAACAATCGGTTTAACGTTCCTTGATATGGGATGTGGGCTCCCTACAAAATGTATTCTATAAGATGACCCATGTAAAGAAGTAAAATAGAAAGAAGTAAATATTAAGCATTCTGATCACACAGAGTGGAACAGTCCGAAGAACTACCAAAACAGATATACACATTTTATCTAAGAGACTCAGAAGCAGTTCCACAGGGCCTTGTTTCCAGTCACCTCACAACCACAGGCGCCTAATGGCGGTATCCAGTAAATATTCAGTCCAGTGATTGATATCATGAGCATTGCCCTGTCAGCGAACCTCATCATCCGATCCCGTTAGTCTCCGAACTTCAGCTCTATCCCGGATCTTCACGGACATGTGTGTCTGTCTGTCTGCCTGTCCTCCCACTACATGTGTGTCTGTCTGTCTGCCTGTCCTCCCACTACATGTGTGTCTGTCTGTCTGCCTGTCCTCCCACTACATGTGTGTCTGTCTGTCTGCCTGTCCTCCCACTACATGCCTGTCTGTCTGTCTGCTTGTCCTCCCACTACATGTGTGAGTGGGACATAGAAATAAGTCAGCAAATGAACACGTTACCTTTTCCCTCACAACAAAAGCGACAAAATCGATTCCACATCCACAATAAATCTCTTTTACTATTTCGATTACGTATCATCAGCATGTGTTTATGAATCACTATCACACTGTGATGACACCACGCAGGAGTGGAACATTCTTGTCTGTTATGAGGATTTTACAGAGCTTCAGAGGAAATACGAACATAAGAAAACATTAACAAACACTGTGGTAATATTGAGCCGGCCCATGGCCGGGCGAGTTTAAATTTTGAGTTTTCGAAAAACAATGTGTTCATTTTTTCATCCTTAGCATATATTCATAACAACTGCATGTTTAATTTTGTCGAATCCCTTGTCAGAAAGTGTCCACAGTGCGGAGAGTTTCTGGACTTTTGTGAGTCCAGAATTAAATTGTGACGTGTTTTGTACTTGTGGAGGATAGTTAACATCGGTCAGGGGTTGTTGGGGTTTGACTTTATTTGATCTGTCGTATGATACAATTGTTTATTACAACGTGTGAAACATAACGTATATAGATCTCATATAACGCATTGCATTGGCTTATTGAACGACGTGATTTTTTTGTGTGTAGATATCCTTATCCCTTCGATGCATTTATTCGAGGCAAAAAAGCTTTCATCCGTATGTACAATAAACACAACTCTATCAAACTAGTGAGAGAGTGAGTGAGTTTAGATTAGCACTCAGCAATATTCCAGCTGTATGGCGGCGGTCTGTAAATAATCGAGTCTGGACCAGACAATCCAGTGATCAACAGTATGAGCATCGATCTGCGCAATTGGGAACCGATGACATGTGTCAACCAAGCCAGCGAGCCTGACCACCCGATCCCGTTAGTCGCCTCTTACGACAAACATGGGTTACTGAAGATCAATTCT